CTCTTAAAACATTTATAATCAAATACAATTCTTTACTATATATCTCAGTTTTATACCTTATTGCAACGCTTGCATAATTTTAAGTTCACCCTTTTCATTCAATATCCCAAAACATCTCGCTGTTTATTCCTTTTTCTAGATTATTGGATAAGAGAAAGCAATAATAAATGTCCTTTCAAACATTCTGCTTTTGGAAGCTTCTGTCAGTTCCATCATGCTAGATCTCATTTCTAACCATCAGTGCAGATGATTTCATGTAGCTGAGATGGAGTCTAAAATATCTCCCATGATTCCCAAGAGGAAAGGGGCATCTTGCTTGGACAAACTTCAGGGCTTGGGAAGAATCTCTGGCGGACATTTTGGCCCCGCGCTGAGCTGATGTCTCCCCTTGTTCCTTCTGCAGATGAATGTGGGATAGTGGCCCAGATTGCTGAACCCCTGGCCGATGCAGACATATCTGCCTATTACATCAGCACCTTCAACTTTGACCACGCCTTGGTAAGCCACAAAGGGCTGGAGAACGTTCTGAGTTTGAAGCATTTGTTGTTTTGAGGGTTCCACATGTGGAGCAGAACGAGGGCTCTGGAGTTTCATCTTGAGCCAACGATGGACTGGTGCTGACTGCATAACAAGGAAGGGCTGTATTTTGGAGCTAAAGCCAAAAGGGTGCTTTGGCACCTGAAGGACCTTTGGAGTTCTACCTTTTTGCAGTTCCTTTAACCAAATCCATTCCCCCCATCCCCACCAGGATTGGGTGAGTGGGCAGCAGCGAGCAGCAGCCGTACAGAAAAGATGCAGCTGCTTTAAAGAGCCACAGGCAAGCGTTGTGCAAGTGCTCCTGCATCTTCAGAAGCACCTTTTTGCCTTTGCGTGAGTTGTACTGGCCATCTTTGCCAGATACTCTTAACAGTTTGAGTGGCCTTCTGGAGGCTGGCCAAGGCTGAAGTCTTCCAGAGAACATTTGGGATGTGATCCTTTGCTATCAACATTATGTTTTGATTTCGTATGAATCCATTCTTGTTGGTTTTGGTTGTCTGAGTTGTTTTGAAGCATAGGGTGTGATTAGGAGTGTGAATTAAATCTCCCCTTCCCCTTCCCCTTCCCCTTCCCCTTCCCCTTCCCTTGTAAGCTATTGGGAATCTGAATGACTTGGTGGCAAATTTAATAGGACAATGAAAAATGTTGTTATTGATAATGATATTAATCTGATTACAAATCTGAATCTGAAGATGATTTCCCAAGATTGTTTGGGCCTTCCCTTATAGGCTCCGCTTGGTATTTCCTGAAAGGTGTCAATGCAGCCAGTCATTTCCCTCCGCATTCCCTGCAGGTCCCGGAAGAAGGCATCGACAACGTCATTGACGTGCTCCAGAAACGGCAGGAGGCTGGGAGATAACCGCCTGGGCTCTGTTTGTCTCGGATGTGGGTTTCCGAAGACCAGCTGACGGATCTCGTCCCAGCCATATTCCCTGTTCCTGGAATGAGAGAGAGAGCCCTGCTCCTGTGCAAGCCAGTTATCTTTCTGGGAGATGACTTGTGTCTGGGTGGAGCACACCCAAATATTTTCAGCTGTGGGTACCATCCTTTCTCCCCGGACAGAGAAGCACGTGCCTTGTTGCCTTAACTCTCCAGACTGACAAACAAGGGAGTTGCATGAACAGATTTCAGAGACTAGCGGAGGAATTCTGATACATGACGACTTCTCGGTCAGAGAAAGAGCTCTTTCTCTTTCTCTTTCTCTCTCTCTTTTATTTTGCACATATTCTGAGATTTCGAAAGGCATCCTTGGGGGCAACTTGTCAAATGGCATTCCCTGCCCTGCAGTGAAAGGACAGCATTCTTCAGAGACGATGTTCTCCAGATGAATGAGGGACTTGGGTAGCCCCAACGCATCTGGAGAAAAACAGCCCCGACTTTAGAGTTGGTTTTCCTTTTCAGTGCCCGACGCTAAGAGTAGAAAACACTGGATTTCTTTTTAAATCTGATATGGAGATGGCTGGAAGAGTGACTGGAAGGAGGAGAGCGGATTGGGCCTCTGTGTCCTTTGTGAAGTTTCTTTTATTCAGTGACTGCTGAGAGAAGAAGTAAAGAAGGAGAGAAGAGAGCTTTTCGGTGCTCGTACAACTTCCCTTCCTTCTGTGAACAGTATTACATTCTGAATTAATGGATTGGAAGCATTAGTTGTCAAATATTTTTGGAGTTGGGGTAGGGAGAGAGGCGTGGGTCAAAACAGCTTCCTCTCCTCCTTTTGGAAGCCTTAATGCCTTAGAGCAGGGTTCCTCCACTTCAG